CACAAATTGGTTGAGGTTGGTCCCAGGGACTGAGCCCATACTTAAGAGTTAATAACCTGCCAAAACCAGTTGCATAACTTGTAACAAAAGTAAAAATTAGATAACTAACGTACTTGGTTAAAATCATGAATATTACTTTAAAAAGCTTATTTTTACTTGACCAGGCTGTCTTTGGATGCTTCATAAAGTTTATAGAATATTTCATTGATTGTAAAAGTACTTTAACCCTATGCACATGGGTTGGTGTCAAAGTGCATAAATCATGACCTTTTGCAGAGTACCATTCAATCTGGTATTATGTATTTGTCAGTTATGAACTGTTCAATTTACCCTACATTGCTGATTTAGTGACAGTTTGTGGTAAGGGAGAGTAAATAATAGAATCTGTATACAAGAATATTGAAAGAACTTTAGATATGCATTTTGGAGGTTCTAGAGGTTATGCGCATACAGTATGCAAACCATAAGACATACAAAAGTATCTATATTCTGTACATGGACATTATATTGTATTCCTTTCAAGGACATTACCTTTCATTCCAACTTTCAGAGTCTGAGTCAGACTGATGTTGTCAGTTCACTGACATATCTTGAGTACAAATATTTTTGTAACTCATCTGATTGTTTTGTGTACAATGGACTTGTACATTTTATTAGAAGCTTGACACATTTTGTTCAGAATATAGATACACAAATTAACTTAGGAATTATAGACAATATTCCTTTTCAAAAATGAGTTATTTCTTCCTTGGTTAGAATAACACCCTTAAAAATAACTATAAAAAAAAATAAAATTCAGTTTACTATCAACATTACTTTAAAAAGTTGCAGAAGGTTAATAATTTGTATTACGTCTGTATTAGTTTTTTTTTCTTTTAGTTTCTATATATAAGCAAATGAATCTGACAGTGCTGATGTTCCTTAGGAGAAAGTGTGTATTTAATAATTAAGATTATATGTGTATTTAAATAGCAAAACAGTGTTTTTTGGTGTTTTCAGTTTGTTTTGAAATAATTAAATTTTCATCTATAGACTTGGGAAAACCCCAATAAAGTTGATTTATCAACTGGCTGTAAGGGAGACAATGATCCAATTGATGTTTGTGAGATTGGATACAGGGTGAGTTTTATCATTATTCTGACACTCATACCAATACAAATTACTTGTGTGTGGCTACTTAAAACAATGTATAATTATATATATATATATACACAAACTTCTTAACATGTGTTTGTGATTCTATTTGATTTGATAATTCAAAATTGTTTACTTGGTTTTAATTGATTAATTTTATCAATCACTTTAAAATTACTTGCATTAGATAAAGTACAATTAAGAATATTTATACTGCACATTGTGAATATTGATCAGAAATTTATTGCAAAATGTACATTATCTTTTAAGTTTTTATTTGTATATAATTTATTTTGTAAACTGTTTAGTCTTGACATATAAAACTTAAAGCTGTATTTAAGTAATATATTTATATTTAGCTTGCAGAAATATATTATTAAAATTGTATTTAAAGCACCCGTTGTTTATGATAGGTAGTGTAGTACTTTTTTGGAGGTGCTTTTGTGTTTAAAATACAGAGTTCACTGATTTATTTACATGTTGCTAATATCAATTTGTTGCAAATATGTTCTTACAGTATTGAGCAATAAGTTGGAGAGATATCTTCAGTATTATATAATAAATAATGTAAATGACCATTTCGTAACCTAGCCAGTCTTTGAATTTGTTGTTGATAGGCTTCAAACAATACACAGTTAATATTATAGTAATGGGGGTTTTCTGATGCACCAAGCACTAGTCTGCACTTTGGTTCATTGAAGTTCTTGACTATTGTTACACTATTTATTAAAATGGGAGATGAACACCCCATATTCAGTAGTGTCTAAGATATGTACTATTCTTGGCAGCATGTTGAAGACAGACATTGGCTCCACTAAAAAATAACCATTGCTTGTTGGGGGTCCAGCAGTAGGGTTTGAACTAGAAGATGCTTGAAGGTGTTCTTGTTCTACGTTTCTTTGTTAATATGAAGATTATTTATTCGTTTGAATATAGGCATAAACTCGCACCCTTCTTCTTGACAATTCCTAGAACATTTCCTTGAAACTGAACTCGTAAAGGTCATTTCTCATTCTAAAGTAGTTGTTGATTGGTCTATTGTGAAAGAAAATTCTTAACCTTAAATAAGTAACTTAAATTTATTAGTTACATATAAGCCTATACCACATGGGCTTAACCTTTAAGTTTAAGGAAGCAACATCACCTATACACTACACTTTTACTGGTTCTTGCAAAGGGACTTCCTGTTGTTCCATCTAGGGCATCCCATCCACTCAATTAAACTTTAAGTCAAAAATTAGACACTCAAAGCCAGCCCTTATTCAAATGTTTATCAAGCCTTTTTTTAAACTTCCTTAAATTAACTGTATCTACTACATCTTAGGCAACCCCTTTTAAAAGCCAACTATGTTGTCATAAGAATAATGTTATATTAGCTGAAGGTCACTTCTACCCTGCTAAAGTGTGTATTTGTGTCCCCTAGTCTTATTATTCTCACCACTGAGTACAAAATAAAAGATGATGCTTCAACAAAATCAATTCCCTTAACAATTTTAAACACCTCAGTCAGATCCTCTAACTCTTTTTCAAGAAAAGAAAATTTGAAAGATTTCAGCCTCTCCTCATGTGACAACCTTTCAGTCCCAGGTATCATTCTAGTAGCCCTCCTCTGAACCCTTTCTAACAATTCAGAGTCCTTTCTAAGGTAAAGAGCCCAAGACTGAACACGGTACTCCAAGTGTGGCCTACACAATGACACTATAAACTCTTTAGACTTGTATGCAATATTTCTTTATGTAAAACCTAAAATCCTATTTACTCTGCCATTAGTAACAGTACAATGCTTAGAAAGCTTGAACTGAGCAACCAGAACACAAAGGAAATCCCTTTCTTCCTAAACAGTGTCAAGGCTACTCCCATCAAAATTATACCCATTATTCAAATTTTCATATCCAACACACATGATCTTGCATTTATTATAATTAAGTCATCTGCCATTTATTTGTCTAACTCAATAAATAATCTAAATCCTTTTGTAAAGCAGCAGCATCCTCCTCACAGCCAGCAACACCCTAAACTGCAATATTTTCAGCAAATTTAAATAATTAATTTACCCTTTTTTTCATCTGTTTCCTTGATGTAAATCAAAAAGAGCAAATTTCCTAACACGAGCCCTAAGGTATCCTACTTGTGGTATTAATCTAGAGTGACTGATCTCCATTATTAACAGCTCTGCTTTCTTCCATCCAGCTAGTTTTCTACCCAGTGAGCCAACCTATTCCCCAAACCTATAGAGATAATTGTTGTGGCAACTTTTCAAATACTTTCTGAAAAATCTAGATAACAAAAATTTACATAAGCAGTAACCTCTTGAAAGAAAGTCGAAAGATTAGTAAGGCAATATTTTCCCTTAATGAAACTATCCCACAAAATTTTAAACTTTGTTAAATGACCTTGCAAAGCATCTTTTATCAGACTTTCAAAAACTTTTCCCACCATTGATATAAGGCTAATAGGTCTATAACTACTGAGATGGCTTTTATTACCTCCCTTGGTTCCATCTAGCAACTGTTGCTTAAATCTTCATTAGTAAAAATTGAAGAAAAAGTAGAATTTAATAATCCTGCCAAATCATAATCATTACATAATAGCCTTCCAGTATCATTCCTCAAAAGACCTACTCCCATCCTAACATTTTGCACACTCTTAATCTATTTAAGAAAAATCCTTACTATTAGGTTTACATTCTGAGACAAGATATCTCCTCTTGCACAGATTAGCTATCTTCCTCAGTGTGTCTGCCAAAGAGATTTGCATGCTTATGGCCTTGAGGCACCTAAGTTTTCACATGATTTTATGTGAATTGTGGCATTCCATGATAACATCATGTGACAAAAGCTCTCCAGCAACAGGAGAGTAGTGCACATGGAGTTGTAGCAACTCTCCCTATGCATTTGCACTCTCGAATCTTCATTCTTCTCCTCAGCAGTGTATTGTGCAGATATCTTTGAATTTATCATCTGTGTTCAATTTATTGAAATATGCGTCATTAATGAAGCTTTTGATTTTCATTTTCTTTAGCATTTGTTTCAAAAGCTTTAATTTTTTTGTCAAATTCGTATATGATGGTTGATTTATCTTTAGTACTGAGTGTGGAATGTTGTTCACATTTAAGCCTTATTTCTGCTATGGATTTTGGAGGCTCTTTAAATATCATGGTTGTTGCATCCATTGTTCAACATGTTGTGGATTACCACATACTTAATGAGCCTCCTACTCCCATCTTGTTGGCTAAATTTTTTTCTCCTCAGTCAGGAATGATCTGTTAGACTACGATCCTCACCTGATTTGCTTTGGGTAATACTTTACCATTCATGAAATGACCTTAAGCTTTCAATGTTATATTCCTTTCTGTATCTTTTGCCTGTGTTCTTTATTTTTCATTTTCTCAATTTCTGACTCACAATTCTGGGATTTGTCTTTCATTTTCTCCTTGCTTGTTATTAGATTTTATATTGTTTCCTTTATCTAATAGTTCCTTTCTCAGGCCCAAATGCCTTGCCCCATCATGTTTGTGACTCCTTTTGTCCTGATTTTTTTACTTCCTTTTCCTGACTCCCTGTCACGAGTAACTATCTGGCCAGCTTGGGGTTTGAGACTTTTACCTTCTATTTCACTTTCTGGCTCCCCATTTTTGTGTTTTTCACCTCTTTCTTTCCCTATTCTACTATATTCCCTCTCCTAGCTCCATCTTTTAACTGAGTCACTTCTTAATGCTTTTATAGACATTTGTTCCCTACACTATATGGCCTCTTCCACTTTTTCTGCTCTATCCCTCTGTACTTTGTTCCCCTGTTGTTTGGGCTCCTTGGGTTGGGTTACATTTTTTCTGTACCCCTTCCTTCTTTTTGTGTACTTATTATTTGTATGGCTTCCTTTTGTTATCCAGAAGTCTTCAGTGGTATTCCTTTCCCAGACCTGGTCTGATGTTATAAGACTTTAATCCTTATTAGCTACCTAGGCATTTTCCTCTTTCTTGCCATTTACTCATATTCTTCCTCTAGATCATTCCATTTCCCACTCTTCTTGCCAGTGATTATCTCTCTCACTCACACACACACACACACACACACACACACACACACACACACACACACACACACACAC